ATTGCCACTCTCCTCCCCAGATTTCTCCCTGCCTTTTATTTCAAACCAGCTCCAGGAACCCTACCTCAGCTCGAGTGTCGTTGCAATGAATGTATGCCAAGCACTGAGCTGTGCGATTCACAAGCTCTGACTGGATCCTATGAGGGAGATCTCTGTTTTACAGAAAGGAAACAGGGACTCGCGGAGGTTAAATCACTCAGCGAGTTAATAGCAGAACTGGAACTTGATGCTTCAATGGGCTAAGACCGTAACTTCTCAAGCACAACACACCACGCCTGTCCCTAAATAAGAAGGCGCTGGTTTCCCCTTCCTACTACCCCACTAGGTCATAAAATTCCAGGCTCATTTCATCCCACATTGTTTATACAAAAGACAAGCCTGCAGGTGCGCGTATTTGACAGCTCTCGATCCTGATGCTCTTATTTCCCACAAGCCTGTGCGGTCTGTGGGGAGGTGCCCAGTGCTGTGGCAGGAAAGGGAGAAAGGAACAAGGGGCCTTATTCCGTGCATCACTTAGATAAGCTCAGCCAAGAACTGGACTAGGGCTGATTCCAATCCACTCTGATCCAGAATTTCCCCAGAACTGGTCCAGAATGCACTTAGTTTCCAGGAAAGAAGATTAACCGGAAGTGTTTGCCTCATTTTAGATAAAGCCAATAGAGGCTGGTTATACTTTTCTCTCTTTGGAGCAACTTCAAACATGGAGTCGGCAAAAATGCCAGGCACGGGTAGACCAGTGGAAACCAAACTTGCACCTAAGTTCTGCTTCAGAGTGCCTTCGAGGCTCTAGTCCACCTCAAAGATAGGCCCAAGCTTCTCTCTGGAATCAGGCCTGCCAGCCAGCTGCTGTGCCATCTGCTTTGTCTCAGGTCTCTTCCCGCTCCCCAAGGGTCCGAGCAAAGCTCCTGGAGCCAGAGTTCATCTCTCCACCCTCCTACTCTCAGCCCCCTGTCCATGGGGTCCCTGGCCATAAAGAAAGACCTTTAGCTCAAAGATTGAAAAAGATGTTTTAATAAATACAAAAATCTTCAATAATGACTCTGCTCAGCTCAGGGGCAGCAGGAGTGAAGTGGTGGGGGGACCCTTGGTGCTGAGTGAGGATAAATTAAAAATCCCAACAAGCCAGTGACATTATGTACAGAAGGAGAGGGGTTGGGCTTCCAAGGCAGAGGCCAGAGGGTGACAGGCAGGAGTTGGAGTGGACATGGCCTGGGTCTGCCCTGACAGCCCCTCCCCCTTGTGGAGTTGTGGTCCCAGAGGTAGTGGGGGAGGGAGAAGGGGCGGAAAAGAGGAGCCAAAGGCACTGGATTTCCCCCAAGAGGATGCAGGGTCCTGGTCGCCACTCCTTCTCCCAGCCCAGGCCCCGTCCTCTTGGTGATGGGCCTTTCCACAGTTCCCTAGGAGCCCTGGGCTTCTTTATTCAGCTCTGGCGCCGTCCTGGTCTGGGGGCTGTGAGGACAGAAGGGATCGAACTCCGAGGACGCAGAGAGCCCAGCAAA